CAGCAGGAGTGATCAATAATTTAGTGAAATTTTTTGAGCAATTGACAGGTGCTCAGTGCTTCTAGACTGGCCTGATATAGGTCACTTGCACCATAAAGTCTTCAAAAAGGCCTTTGGTTTGTTCCTTGAATGCCACAAAGGAGCTTTATTGTTTTTTCTCTCAATGTCCTTAAAAAACTAAATGCCATGTTCTCCATTTATAGTTCACTCTCTCTGCCTCTTCAGACTGTGACTCCCTGATGAAATTGCTAAAAAGGAACTGTTAAATTGTGAAGGTTTTTGTTGTGGATTATTTGTGTGATGTGTACACTTGTCCATAAGCAACTGGATTGACACCAGTAATACATTTCACTCAGGTTATATACAGCCATCAATCAGTACTAACTAAGGCTACAATCTGGCAAGTTTATTCATGTGGCTACTGGAGTCTTCCCTCCCTCTCCCCTCTCCAACTTCTCCAGACTCTGTTGGTATCAGTGGGACTCTGAACAAGCACAGGGGCCTGCTCACATAAAATAATGCTCAGGATCAGAGCCGTAGAAATCTCTCTGTATGCGAGAAGTTGGGAGTCATAGTCACAGAACTGTCAATTTAAAATGAAAACAAACCCAGCTGATTTTCCCCAATAAAAGACAAGAGGCCAAATTACATAGGCACCACTTAATTTGCAATATGTGTTATTTCTAAATTTGTAAGATTTATATTATTTACACTGAATGTTGATGAATTCTGTATTGACATTAGTGGTTAAAATGACACATTAATTGTTCTTGCAATTAAAGCTGTCCTCTGTGCCAACTCTTGTGACATTCAAGAGAGTCATGAGCATCAGCTACTGTAGCATTTCTACTGCAGGCATAGGCATAGCAAAGGAATATCATTTAATAAAATGGAAAATGTAAGAGATATAATGGATTATAATCAGAGCAAAACTTCAGAATTTCTCATTCAGGAGGTCATGGAAATGTTTTTTAAAAACTCCACTCCCTCATCCCCACACCAGTTATTCACATAGATCACAGACACTGACAGTAAAGATTAATAATGGAAGAGACACTAAATCAAGATGTCACTAACTTCACAATGAACAAACACTTAGCATGGCTCTGCAAGATGTCGAGTCCCTCCTGCAAGGTGCTACTAGCAGAGTTGTCAATTAATGTTTTTATATTTCAAATAGAGCTCTTTCTACAAGATATGCTCTTGCTCAAGCAGAAGTGGAATTTGTCATTGGACTACTTTATTCACCCCAACATGAAGATTCAGGGTGACCAAATTGTGTAATGAATTCAGGTTGAATTTGGCAAATAGTTTTGGCTGAATAAAAATAAAAAACAGTTTTTTTTAAGTTGCAATGAACTGTTTTAGATGTTATTAAAATCATATTTTGACTTTTTGTTTTGAAATGACGTATTCTTTCTAAATTTAGCTAGATTTGTTTGAATTTTTGAAGAGGGTTTAAAAAAACACACCTGAAAACGTAACATCATATAAAATGAAAAAAATTGGATAGAACAAAATGTTTAATTTGCCTTGCAATGATTTTTTAAAAATTCTTTAGCTGAGAGAAAAAGAAAAAATTCAGACTCCAGATATTTTTTCTGAGTTTTCAGTTTGGCCACCAAACTGAAAAATCAATTTTTTGTGCAGTTTTAGTAGATTTGAGGCAGAAGTTCTGTTGCTTGTATAATGTAAGAGGTAAAGCAAGTCCTTTTGGCCTTAAAATCTATGAAAGTGTGGTAGGCCTGGGATCACTTAACATAGCTTGTCTGTTGGTAAATAAAATGTTTGGGTTGTAAACAGATTTTCAAGCTGATGGTGGTTTCACATATTTTTCTTTCCTAGGCCGTGTCCAGACTCAGGGGTTTTTTCGGGAAAAGTAGCCTTTTCCCGAAAAAACTTCCCCTGCGTCCAATCTCAAGCCGCGTTCTTTCGAAATTATTTCGAAAGAACGCGGCTTTTCTTTCGATGGCGGTAAACCTCGTTTCACGAGGAAGAACGCCTTCCTTCGAAAGTTCCTCTTTCGAAGGAAGGTGTTCTTCAATGTAAAGAGGCCGTCTTCGAAAGAGAGCATCCAGACTCGCTGGGTGCTCTCTTTCGAAAAAGCGGATTTCTCTTTCGAAAGAAGCCTGCAGTCTAGACATAGCCCTAATGAAAAAGAGTTGAGGAGAAAGAATGGCCCAAAGAACTCCTCTCACTGCAAACAAGTCAGGATTAATTGCAGCAAGTATTGGATTGTTATTCGAGTTGCCAGATGGTTTCAACAAAAATTCCGAACACACTTGACATTACATCACAATCTATACTACATCTTATTTAGAAAATACCGGACATTTATATTTTTTCAATTTGTTTCCTGAACAGAAAGCTCAAATACTGGACTGTCTGGTTCAAAACTGGACATCTGGCAACCCTAGTTGTTATGCTAATTTTGTGGTGACTTGGGGATGCTGTTCAACAGCAAACTTTTAGCACAGATCAAAAAAGATCTGTACCTAGAAAATGTCCTGGTACTTTGGAAGTTGATGTGATGTGAAGACAGCCTGATTTGTCTACGTGTTGTTGTGCTGCAGGGAATGACCATCCGTCCTCTTGTTGACTTATTAGATGTGAAGAGAAAAAGAGAAAGTGCACCCACTGTGGGGGAACAGATTCACATCCGGGTAAGTGGTTCAGCTCTTTATGCCCAGCCCAAGGATATGTGTGATTATAGCATTTCAGTTTGCTTGGCAGGATCAGGGCCTATGAGCAAAGCAATTTGCCGGTGAGGACCCCTCCACCCTTGTAGAGTTTACTGAGTTCAGTGGGGTGTTGTGAATGCAGATTCCTTTTCAGGTTCAGTTGCAGGCAGTAAGCCCTCGTATTATTTCTTATTTGCATTGCAGTAGCACGCAGGAAGCTGATCAGGGTGCCAGTGTGCTAGGTGCCCTTGGGGGTGTTCTCGCTGGCTACTAATTGCCACCAAATGATAGCAGGATAGCCGCCAACAGAAGAGAGCTGACACCAAAAGAAAACACTGCTCCAAACATGGGTTGAGGGCTAAGCTGCAGGGGCTGTCTGGGACATCATAGAAGGTCTAGCGGTAATGTATTTTGTATATAATATTCATATACTTGGCAGTTACATCTCTCAGCTAAAATTCCTCAGCATCAGCTTGCTCCAAACCCTGCTGAAGTCAGTGAAAAGACTCTGTCATGGCTCCTTCCCCACTCTGGCATGATAAATGCAGAAGTGGGGGCCAGCGAGTATACCCCAAAACCTTATCTACCAGGTTTTGGTATAAAACTTCCCCCCAAAATCTTAAAACCTAGATTTTGGGAATAAAACTTCCGCTGCCAGCACCCAAATTAATAAAGAAAACCAGGGGACACACCATTTGGGAAAATCTCACCCCTAACGTAAAAAGCAGGACACCACCATTAACCAATGCCAGGTTAATAAAAAGAAAAGAGAAAACTTTTATTATTACAACAATATTCCTGTTGCAAGCATAATGACTAGATGGAAAGGTAACAAAATATACTCATGGAGAACTCCATGGGTCTAGAACTTAGTTACAAAGAAAAGCCAAAACATCTTTTACACAGTGTACAGACATCAGATCCCAAACCCAAACCATAAAACAAGAACAACAACCTAAACTTTACCCTACTTACAGAAAGTGAAGAAAGAGTCTTTTCTTGGAGGGAGACATAGGCATAGGCCGCTTTTTTTCCGGCTTTTTCTGGAGGATCTCTTATTCTTACTTTGAAGTAGGAATAAGAGATCCTCTGGAAAAGGGCTTTATTCTGGAGGATCGCGCCAGTCTAGACGCTTTTTTCCGGCTTTTCCCCAAGCCGGAAAAAAAGCGGCGGCCATGTTTATTTAAATCCGCAGGGGATATTTAAATCCCCTGCGGATTTCCCTATTCCCACTTTCAAAATTAGCATGCCCCTTCCGAAAAAGGGGCCAGTGTAGACGTAGCCATAGTGTCTGTCCCCCTCAATAGCTGGAGAGAACTCACCAAGAGCCAAAGGAGGGAAAAACCCAAATTCCTTTGTCCCCCAGTTTGAAATTCCTACCTTCATTCCTATTGGCCACTCCACCTGGTTAGGTATAGTTAACCTCTTATACCCCAGGCTGCTGGCTAACCCTCATAATCATGACAGACTCATTTGATTCAAGCCACAGAAATAAGAGCAATTAATCCTGTTCTAGGGATGAAAATCTTACTGACTCCAAGAAGGGCTGCTGTGTAATGGTTTTCTATATGGGCCCACATAAGCACAGATGCCCCCTCTTTCACTGGAAATGCTCACTTTACAGGCTTCACAGACAGGGTCTCCTCACCTGGCTTATGAAGAATACTCCCATGCTGTTTGTTACCCTGTTTGTGTTCAGAGCTGGTAAATATTCCTGGAGTGGGCTCCTTCAAAACTTGTGGCCTGGCCCTGCATCCCCCAGCCCCCCTGCTGCTCTGTGTGCTCTGCCCCTGCTTGCCATCCTGGGCGATATAAAATGCGTGGGAGCCCTGCCATCACCACCAGCAGCATAACCGGGGCTAGAGTGGCTTCCAGCCTCTCAGGGTATGTCTACACTACAAAGTTAGTTCGAACTAATGGACGATAGTTCGAACTAATTTTCATAGGCGCTACACTAGCGCTCCGTTAGTTGGAACTAGCTAATCCTCATTCCACAAGGATTAAGCCTAGTTCGAACTTACTAGTTCGAATTAAGGGCTGTGTAGACCCTTAATTCGAACTAGCGGGAGGCTAGCCCTCCCCAGATTTCCCTGGTGGCCACTCTGGCCAACACCAGGGAAACTCGTCTGCCCCCCTCCCGGCCCCGGACCCCTTAAAGGGGCACGGGCTGGCTACGGTGCCCGTGCCAGGTGCAA